CGTTTACTCAGCTCTAAGGCAAAAAATGAAGAACCGGTTAAACCAAAAACAACCAAAGTTTTTGCAGCCAATAGCCAGGTAACTAGTAAGGCTCAGGATAAGTCTCAGGATAAGTCTAAGTTTCCGCCGTGCGTTTTGTGTAAGGGTAGTCATGCATTGTGGAATTGTGCTGTTTTTAAGGAAAAGAATGCTACTCAGCGAGCAAAATACGTAGCTGAACAGAAACTTTGCTTCGCTTGCCTCAATGGCAATCATAGTTTCCGGCAATGTTCTAGAGCAAAAAAGTGCCCGAAGCCAGAGTGTGATAGCACACATAATGTCTTGCTCCATGGAGCCGAAAGAATATTTCCTCGGAAGGAAAATTCAAATGTCTCGAATAAGGCTGGAACAAACAAATCCAAGGAGAATACAAACACTTCCACCCATGCCGCTGTTAGTGATGTACTTGACATTGAATCTTCTAAAGGGTTGTTGCCAATTGCAACACTTGGTGTATCCTCGGATGTAACCAGTCTCCTGACGTTGGTTCTTTGTGATAGTGCATCGACTCACTCCTGGGTGTCTTCGTCACTCGTAAAGCGTCTCGGCTTAGTAGGGGAGCCCGTTAACTTGTCAATTAGTGGTTTCAATTCGACCACCGTTGTTGAGACTCAGAGAGTCAAGTTTACAGTTTCCTCCGAGCCGAATAATAGTGATTTCGTATTTTCTCTCTGTGCATATGTTAAAGACAGTATTCGGATTGGTTCCGAATTAATCAATATTGCTGATTTGCAGAATAAATATCCACAATTAGCACCTATTAAGCCCATTCAATATACTTATGAGGACGTTGAAATTATTATCGGACAAGACTACTACCACGCCGTTAGACCCATTGAGTTCATCTTGGGAGATGATAAAAACTCACCGTGTTCCGTTCGCCTACCGATAGGTTGGGTCTTAAGTGGTCCGTTGCCGCCGTCCGGTAATTCTACTTCTTCGTGTTTCAAGTGTGTTGTTGAAGATTCGTCTCTGACCGACCAGATAAAATCCTGGTACGAGTTGGAATCGTATGGTGCTTTCAAACAAGTCGATGCCCGTTCCGCCGCGGATAAACATGCTTTATCCATCCTCAATTCTGAAACCGTTCACAATGGCGAAAGATACATTGTGCCTATGCTTTGGATTGATAGTAATGTCAGTCTACCAAACAATTATTACTCGTCACTCGCCCAATTTAAATCATTGGAGAGAAGGTTAAGTAAAGACCCTGAGCTGCGCGAAAGATACGCAGAAACAATTAGAGAGGACATTAGGAAAGGCTATGTCGTTACCGTCGAACCGCATGATCCACGTAAGCGTTCCGATCGCGAGTGGTATCTTCCGCACCATCCCGTCGTAAATCCGAATAAGCCGGGTAAGGTGCGCCGAGTCCTTAATGGGGCTTCTAAGTTTCACGGCACATCCTTAAATAAGTCCTTATTGGTGGGTCCTGACCTACTCCAAAATTTAATTTTTGTGCTTTTGCGATTCCGTCAACATAAGTACGCCGTCTCCGCGGATATAGAGGGTATGTTCCTCCAGGTAGGAGTCCTTGCCCGCGATCAAATTTCGCTCCGTTTTTTGTGGCGGGAGGATACCACTTCCGATGTGGTAGTTCATCAGTACACTCGCCATATATTCGGCGCACGGGATTCACCTACGTGCGCCAATTTCGCGTTGCAAAAAACAGCAACTGATAATATGTCCACATACCCTGAGGCCGCCTCAGTCGTAAATGAAAAGTTTTACATGGACGATTACTTGGATTCATTCGAGAACGTTACCCAAGCAATTAAAACTAGTCGCGATTTGGTTTCCTTACTAAAATTGGGAGGATTTAATTTGACTAAATTTGTCAGTAATGCTGATGAAATCACTTCAGCAATGAACCCCGAGGAATCCGAAACCTCATCTTCACCCATCAAGGAAATATGTAACGGTGCCGAACGATCATCACACGTCTTAGGTCTTAAGTGGGACCATGTGAAAGACACATTGGTTGTTAGCAGAGGCGTGGATCGTCCTCTCGATAAAGCAATAACTCAACGAACCGTCTTGAGTTTCGTCTCTTCTGTGTTTGACCCTGTTGGGTTAGTAGCTCCATACACAGTTAGGGCCCGTCTTTTACTGAAAGATATTTGGAAAATCAGTGGTCAAAGTTGGGACGACGAATTGCCAGAAGACATAAGAGATAAGTTTCTCGAGTGGCACTCCGGTCTCCCTCTCTTAGGGCAATTGACTATTCCCCGTTGTTACTTCACAGAGCCTGTTGATCAAATTGAGCTCCACATGTTCGGTGATAGCTCGCAGGACGTTTTCTGTGCTGTTGGTTTTTTGCGTGCGCGACTCGCGAGCTCGCATAAAACTCAAATATCCTTCATCTTTGGTAAAGCTCGCGTTGCGCCCATGAAAGCGCTATCGATACCGAAGCTAGAGCTTCAAGCTGCTCTGCTCGCCACACGACTAAAAGATGATATACTGACCGCCCTTACCGTCTCTATTAATCATGTCTTTATGTGGACAGATAGTACAACAGTTTTGCAGTGGCTAAACTCCACTGAAAAATTACCTGTATTCGTCGCTAATCGTGTCGGCGAAATCCTCGAGTCGACCACTATTGATGAGTGGCACCATGTTCTGAGCGGCGATAATCCAGCTGATACCGGTACGCGGGGGATTTCTTCGGAAGCCCTCAAGGATAGCAGCTGGGTTATTGGTCCGAGCATTCTCAGGACTACTGATTGGCCGTTTTTACCCGACGAACGTGTAATCAATAAAATTCGTTTGAAGGGTCCTTCTTGTGATGTTGATAATTGCTTTGAGACATCATCTTCCTTCGTCACCGATGTCACATCAATAAAACATCCCGAACACGGGTTCAATTGGGAAAGGTTCAGTTCCTTTACAAGATATAAACGAGTAGTCGCTTTTATGTTGAGGGTGTTGCCTTCACATAAGCATTTTCGTGGTAAAGACTTACGAATCACCGACCCCACTGAACTTGATATTGCAGAAAGCAAACTGATTCATCTTGCTCAGATGGAATCCTTTCCCGTTGAGTTAAAAACACTCACCGCTGGCAAACCTATTAAGAATAGTAGTAAAATTGCCACATACTCGCCATTTATTGGTCCCGCTGGAATCATTCGTTCCACCGGACGGATTGTGCGCTTAGTGGATACCGAGTTTGATACTAAGCACCCAATAATACTCGATGCCCGACATACCTTAGTTCGTTTGTTGGCCCGCAGCCTCCACCATAAGCATTTTCATCAAGGATTAGATTACATGCGCTCCGTTTTAAATATGAAATTAGCAATACTTGGGTTGCGTCGACTACTTCGGTCTGTCGAAAATCAATGTGTGACATGCCGTAAACGCAAAGCAAGTACCATCCAGCCAATTATGTCCGATTTACCGGTCGAACGTCTCGGATACAAGCAACCACCCTTCAATCATACGGGTGTGGATTACTTTGGACCGCTTTACGTTCCGGTTCGCAGAAGCACGGAAAAAAGATGGGGATTCCTTTTTACTTGCCTCACCACCAGGGCTGTACACCTTGAGATTGTACCGTCTCTGGACACCAGTTCGTGTGTCATGGGCATTGAACGGTTCGTTGCGCGCCGTGGTACGCCAAGCACAATCTGGTCGGATAATGGCACGAACTTCGTTGGTGCGGAAAAGGAATTACTTGCCTGCATCAAGAGCTGGAATGGCATGGCTCCGACCATTTTTGCACACAAAGGTGTTACTTGGAAATTTAACCCGCCAGGCGCACCCCATCATGGCGGCTCCTGGGAACGCCTCGTCCGAAGCGTGAAGCGCGTGCTGTACGATATCCTAGGCAGTAGGCGAGTCACTGAAGAGGTGTTAGGAACAACACTCTGCTTAGTTGAACAGGCTTTGAATTCGAGGCCAATCACTCCCGTTAGTACCGATTCACGTGAGTTAGAAGCGTTAACCCCAAACCATTTTTTGCTTGGACAACATGCCACAAGCTTTCCTTCGCTTTTACCCGGGGAGCACTTCGATCACAAGAAAAGGTACGTGCGAGCGCAGTCATATGCTAACGCGATTTGGTCTCGTTGGCTTCGAGAATATGTTCCCTCGCTGAATAAGCGTGTCAAGTGGCACACTCATTCTGACTTCACTCTTAAAACAGGCGATCTCGTGTGGGTGATTGAGCCCGATAGTCCGCGTGGGTACTACCCTCTCGCCCGAATCGTCAAGCTAAACTACGGACAGGACGGTTGCGCCCGATCCGCCCTTGTCAGGACCGCAACCCGTGAAGTCACGCGGCCGACCGTTAAGCTCGCTCCGGTTCTTCCTTCTTCAGGGGGGGAGGATGTTGCAATGCAAATGTAGAGTATAGAATGTAGAGTATAGATGCATATAAAACTGAACCAAAATGTAACAACAATAAGCACAGTTGGCCGAGTGGCCTAAGCTAACGCCGATTATACAGGTTAACAGTTGACGTAGGTTCGAGTCCCCCACCTGCCCATGTATTAGTATACTAAAAACGGGGGTTACATCCTATTTTAACTGTTTTTTGGTTCTAATTCGGTTCAGCCTTGATTAAGGTTGACCGCCAAAAAGAGCAATTTGTCTCAAGGACATTACCGACCGGTTCTTGTGGCTAGCTTGCGCCGTTTTGTACAAAAAACGCACAGATGCAAAAAATGTTATATGATGTTCTGATCAATAGAAAAATGCCGAAATTATTTTATTGACCGAGTTATTTGCCGAGAAATATCTCTTACTAATTTACGGATTTGGAACAGTTTTTTTTGGAGATTAGCGAGCACAGGGAGTAAGAATGCGAATCCGAATATAGTTTTACAAATTCCTAATAAAGCTATTTGTTTATTAGGCTACCAAAGTTTGTTGCATTCGTTGATTTTTTAGAACAAATAAGCTATGGAATTAAGCGGAGAGTAGAATAACTTCAAGTTGAATTATATTTTACTGTTTAGGCTACAAGAACAAATGGCACATGATGATTCTGCTGGGCGTGTGCATTGTGACTATTCAGGACGGGGGCAACATGATTTGGAGTGTGTTCGGAGCTGCTCACATCCCCCACAGATGTCTCATCCCCGGACTAGACAGTCCCCCCTTCGCCAATATCTCCCCTTCAGTTATACATGAAGTGTTCTACAATGGTTAGTTGATAATTATTTAGGTTGTTGTGAAATACGTTGCATTTTCTCTTCTGGTTTCGGGATTTTTGAACAAAAATAGGGTTTATAAGAAACAAAAAAACTAGTTATGGTGAGTGTGTTGACTATATGGGTCACTTGACGGTAAAATCTAAATAAAAACCAGTTAATTTTTAATTCTCTATTTCAGTTGTAATTATCAGTTGTGATGTTTTAATAAAGCAATTTCAAAAACGTTATCTTGGAATGAGAACTGATTCGACGTCTTTTTTCTGCAGAGTAATATACACCGGGGCTAGTAGACATTTCTTTATCAAAATCAAGCGCTTCCAAACTGTTTATAACACGGTTTTTACCACATTTAGCCAATTGGGACATTAATATCAATCAGGGGCAACCTAGGCTTTCTCAAGGGGTGGGGGGTCTCCCAAATCATCAGATAAAAACACTGTTTTGACCAAATTTTCTGCGCCCTGGTAATTTTTTGAAAAAACCGTCCAAAAACCTTAAACACTTTTTGGAAAGTTTTGACCAAAACTTATTTGCCCTGTCCCCTCGAGAAAATCCTAGATCCGCCCCTGGCCTAGGCACTCATGTTCAAAATTTAGGCCCCGAGGCTTAATTTGAAATGAATATGGCAAACTTTGTCATTGAAAGAAGGAAAACACATAAAGAAGTAAAACACATAATTTGAAATTATTATGACTAATTTTGGCGTTTTTTATTGTCATTGAAAGAAGTAAAACACACACATAGTTGCGTTCACTTTTTTTTGATTTGATGAATAAAAGGTCAGTTTTAATATCCAGTAACAAGTAACAACAGAAAAAGGCGAGAAAAAGCGCGATTGAACGACAACGCGAGTTTCAAAAATAGATTTTGTGAGTAAAAAAGGTAGCTCGAAGCTGTATTTTTTTTTAGACCCGCGCTCTTTTGGGTGCAATGGGATCCCAGCCGACAGACAGACAGGGTGCACCGCCCTGAACATCAACACCTCCGCCCTCCTCCAGGAAGCATCCTCGCTCAATGTGTCCATTGAGCATCTGATTACTCATCCTAACCAATCAGAGCTACTGATGACGTCAGAGTATGGACTGTGTAGTGAGATGAGTGGGTTTGAGTTCATGCCCATGGAAGTTGAGGACTCCGCCGCCAAAGAGGTTGGAGAACTGATTTCGACGAAACTGAAAATAAGCTCATTGTTCCGATCACTGTGTTCCGATCACTGAATGTATTTTAGTTTTTTATTGTTTTGTTGACGCAATATTAGATGCCAGAAGTAATTATTGGAATAATTGGAGCGATATGTCATATTAAAGCGTTTTCACCCGTGATTGGAACCATAGTTAAAAATTTCCAATAATTATTTGCAATCTCGAGACAAAATCTAGAAAACAAGATTTCGAAGCATCATTTAGCGCTTTCTTGGCAATAAATTTTTCTTTTTTTTTGTTTCTTATTCACTTTTTGAATACAACTGTTGAGGTTACAAAAAATTTAGTAGCGTTCTGAGCAGTGGCGTGCGCAGAAATTTTTCTAGGGGGGGGGGGCGGTTTTCGAAAAATTTTGAAATTGTTGCGGACCCTATTTTACCCTAAAAATTTTAACGCCGCAGGCGATTTTTACAAAAAACAGGCCAAAAATGCTTTTTTTGCGCACTTAGGAAAATTTTGACAAAAAAATGCGTTAGTGACAAAATTAGTTATATTGGCGCCAAAGGCGCCTTGAAAAATTTTGAGGTTCATTAGCCAAAAATGAATTTCGTAAAGTTATACCAAAGTGGGGACCCTTTGGAAAAATTTAGCAACCAGAATTGAGGGAGGGGGCGGTTGCCCCCCTTTGTCCCGCTACTGGTTTTTGTCTATCTTTTCATCATACTACGCAAAAAATGACCCAAATAAAAAAAGTTTTCTTTTTCTAGTTTTCAATGAATCTTTGAAGATAACGTTTATAGCAAATTTTGCAAATTTTAAAAAGAAAAGTATGTTTTTTTCTAGTTTTTCATGAATGTGGTCGGAATTTTCTGTGTTACTTGAACAGCAACCGTCTATTCTTGTTAAAATTGCATGCTTTGCAGCAAAATTTTATGTCCTCGAGAAACTATACCTGGTCAACTTATCAGTTCAAAAAGAGTGTACTGATTATAAAGTGGTTAGTGTTTCAGTTTGGTCTCGTCTGCGGTCGGGAGATCTACAGACGGGTGGACAAGGCACTGTTTGTGTTGGGACAGGCAGTCGGCGCCTTCGTCCTGGGATACCTCAGCGACAAGTGAACTACCCATTCAATTTGCAATTGGCCCTAACCAAAAAAAAATGCATTTTCTGTAACCCCTGCTATACAAACCGAACACGTCCCATAATTTGTGTCCAGATTTTTTTGGTAGTCAATGATTACTTTGACTTATTTTTTCTTTTTCTTAAAATTTTTAAAATATTGTCATGGTGTTGGAGGATTGCGGATCGGCGGTTGCGATAGAGAGCTCAATTTCTTTACCTTTCTTTTAGTAAAAGCAATTTCTACTTATAAGAATATGATGGACTCACTTCACATAATGTGGTACAGAACATTTTGGTACTTTTGAATTTTTTTTGGCACTTGTTAATGCCGTACAGAACGCTTTGAAATGTTAGTTTTTTCCGACTGTTTGTGAGTTGAAAAAGCAATGATCAGTGGCTTAACTCCTTATTTAATGTTGACAGATACGGGCGTAAGAAGATGTTGATTGTGCAGTACATTCTGGAACTATTCTGCATCCTGGCACTCGCCCTCTCCCCTCACATTGTCATCTTCCTCTTCCTCCGATTTGTGGTGTCCATGTTCAACATGAGCAAGTTCCCTATCGCTGTCACATTCGGTAAGTGCAGTAGTTTGCTTAATTCTTATGCTTTTTTGCACCAGTTTTGAAAATCGTAAATTATTCCCTCGAGGTCTAGAAAAATTTCCTCGAAATCTTTTTCCTCAGGGGTTTGACCCCCTCACCAACCAAATGGTCCGCCTTTGGTATTATTTTATGACATCCATTTTCGGCCGACCAACCCTATACTTTTTCTGAAGGAGCCTTCGGCGCCTATATATACTAAACTTGAACGGAAGCGCGCGCCAAATAAACGCAATTTTTTGGTAAAGTTTTCCAAAAAGTGTCCAAAACGGCATGTTTGTCCTGTTATTTCAAAATATTGCCCGAAAATTTGGTCAAAATAGGGTCTTTATAGATATTTAGGAGAGCTCGGAAAATAATTTTGGTCGACCTAAAAAAAGTCGACATAATTTTAAAATTTCGTCACCCCCTCTCGAGAAAATCTTAGATCCGCCCTACATGTAAGCAAAGATTTGATTTTTCACGCATTATTCCGGTACACGAGTTTTTTTATTTGGTTGATAAGTCTACATGAAAAATATTTAATATGTATTTGCCATTTAATTTAGTGGATGTAAAAAAAAATAACTTCTTTCTTTGTCAAAAACTACAGCACATAGATTAACCAGTTCCGTCTTTTTAACAGGCCACATTTTTAGACAATTTGGTTACCATGAGCATTTTAAATAAAATCTTAATCAATTATAATCGGCGGTCGGAATACTCAGGTCTTTGCTTTGATGATAGCAGACTTGTTTTAAAAATATTTTTCAGTTTCAGTTTTTGTTTATTCGACTTTCAAAGAAAAATGTACTACTTAAGCTCAGTGTGGTTTTATCTTATGGCAATAGAAAATTGGGTTTTTTATAGATCCATTTTTGATTGGAGTTTTCTATACCATCTGAAATTTATTCACCTTCTAAGCTCAAAACTAAACAAAATTTAATATAGATCAATTTGTGTTTATTTGTGGAGATTTAAAAGTTGGCAACTTGTGCAATTTTGGACAACAAATGCGTAAGCGTTGGTTTAATCCGGCTCAAATTTTTTTTCGAATGTTTTGAAGCAAAATTATTCCATGGGGGGCTATTGTTACATGACTAGACGCTGGATACACATTTTGTACAGAAATATCGTTTGTGGGAAAATTTTAAATAATCTAAAAACAATCCTTTTTTCACATTTTAAAATTTTTAAAATCAATTTCTCTCTTTTTTTTGTCAAAATTTCTTAAATTCAAAAAAAAATCAAAATTGATTGTATTTAGAATTTTGCATAAAACTATTGGGAAAAGTCTTTTTCATCCTATTTTTTTTGAGTTTGTTGAAACGGGTGTTTTTTTTTCTCCAGGAAAGCTTTGGGTTTTGAACTAGCCTGTTGTGACAAAGAAATTAGTTAATTGAAAAACTACTGATGCTTCGATCTCAAGTTTAGAAAGCAATTTTCCTGCAACCTTTATCCGAAAAGTTATGCAGGTTTGCAAATTGGCAATTTGAAATTAAAAACTCGCCATATTTTGCGTTTTAAAACAGCGTAATCGGCAGATGAAATCATTCAAACAAATAGTTTTTTCCTCACAGGCTATGTAAAGCAAAAACTGATATATTTTTCCTTTGGTAACGTTTTATTGAGAACAAAACGCTGGCCTCATTTGCATTTCATCTATTAATTTGAATGATTTCGAAATGCAAATGAGGCAAGCGTTTTGTTCTCATTAAAATGTTACCACAGGAAATATTTATCAACTTTTGATTTACATAGCCTGTGAGGAATAAAAATCAAAAAGAACGAAAACAGTTCAACTTCGTTGTTGTTCATGTTTGGCATATTTTTTCATCGATTTCAAAAAAAACTTTTCCGTTAACCCTAAGGGGCAATAGAACCATCAGGGTTTTGCCCTGATACGAGAAATCTTGTTGCTCCAATTTTTCGATCATCGAAGAAAATGAGATATGTTTTTGCCTGGGGTGCTGGGGTGGTTTTTTAAGAGTAATGAACGTAGTGAGTACTATGATATAGATCTTGAAGATTTTTTTTGTTTTTTTTCAGGAAAAAATTGTTCAGCTCAATTTGGATTTTTCGTGGTTAGACTTGTGATTTGTTTTTAAATTCAGTGCATTTCCATTGTTAACAGGAAGGCAAACTCCACTATCGAAGAGCAAAATTAAAAAGGTCACGAAAAACGTGACTGACTTCTAATTTCGAAAAAGGAAATTAATTATCAGATTTCCCAGCAAAACAAAATGTTTATCTTCTGATCCAGTTTTCTCAAAATCGGTTAGGTTTAACAAAAAAGTGTCCATCATAACTTGTTGTAAAAAGTTTAAAGACTTTTAAGGCTATCTATTTTTTCTTCGAAATTCAAAAACTTGAAGGTTTTTAGAAAGAACAAGTGAGTTTTTTTTTTAGTTTCTCTGCGTTCATTACTCTTTTCCAACTGTCTGTTGACTATGTTTATTCAGATGGAGAAAGTTTTACAAATTTGTTCCGAATTGATATCAAGCTAATTCGAGATTTTGTTAAGTCAAACAGAGCCTTTGATATATGATAATATTGTCCAAAAAAGTTGTAAGTTTATTGAAAAAAAAAATACCAAAAACTATTGGAAACCAATTAAAGGGCAGTTAGATTATGCAAGGCTTCGCCCTGATATACGATCAATCTTGTTTTGAACATAAAATTGCTTGACGAAGAACTAAACAGTAACTACAATGATTTTTCAGGGTGGTTGAGTTTCTTAGGAGATTTCAAATATCTTTCTCTAAACGCGCTTCAGAATGTTTCTACAAACTAAGAGCTTCAACTATAATTTCTAGGCGCGGAGGTGATGATGCCGCAGCACCGTGGTCTGATTGGGATGATCCCCGGGATAGAGATAGGAGTGGGCATGATCCTCTACTCCTTCTTCGCCTACCTGATCACTTCCTGGAGATGGTACACTACAACTGGCATGTGGTTCTGCCTCCCCATCACTGCATACTGGCTGTGAGTGGAGTTACTGTTCACTTGAACGAATAGATAAATAAGCCGAACAAAATTACTGGTGGTACACAAAATATTGTTTTCACTATGGTGTAACAGTGACTTTTTATCCGGGATTTAAATAATGACCGACCAGTTGAGAGAATAAAACAAAGTTGGTCAAATCTGCACTGCAATATTGCGTAATTGAGCTCTTGTTAACTATATTTCCTAACTAAACTTTTCGGGAAAAGTTGTGGTAAGTAGTTGTTGATATTGTTGCCAGCATCGCCATGCCCGAAAGTCCTCGCTGGCTTCTGGAGAAGGGAAGATACAGAGAGTTCCAAGAAATAGTCAAGAACATCGAGCGCAAAACGGGAAAAACTCTGGACCCAAAAATGTGGTATAAGTTAGAAGTGCTGATTAAAGCAGAAAAGCGAAACACGACAGTTAAAGAGCAGTTCCAGAATGTCTTCAGAAGTAAGTCTTCGGCGATGTCAGACGCAGAAGAAGAAGAAGAAGACGATCAACCGAGTGGCTTCCAAGAAATTGGAAGGTCGCCGTTGTTAATTAGATGGCTCACCGTTTTTGCTTTTGTTTGGTAAGTTGTTCAAATATTTGATTGATGAAGTTGAACATCCGGGAAGTGAAGCAAATGCGCGCTCTCGTTGTTTGGCTATTCTCGCGAAATGCTGAAAAAAATGGTTGCGTGGGTTTTTTCCACGAATATTTGGTGTCGGAAATATATTTAAGAGCATATTTAAAGGAACAAAATTGTCTGTGCTTCTTGTAGAGCAGCCGGTTGTTTAAAAGACCCTATTAGTTTTAGATTTAATAAGCTTATATGTAATAACTTTGGTTTATATTTTCGGTAGGTCGACAATTCGTAACAGGCTAAAATTCGTAACACAGTACTGGAAAGTAGAGTATGCTTGCTCCGCTTCGCTCGTTGCGCTCACATCCGGCACTAGAGGAATATTGCGCGTGAATCAGTGTTCCCCGCTTAACCTACTGATACTAATTGTCGCCTGTTACGAATTGTCGCCTCACGATATTTTCAGGTGCGCCAACACTCTTCTTTATTACGCCCTGACAATGGGTCAGGATCTGTTCAACCTCAACCTTTACTCTTACACTCTCATCAACGGGTGCTTCGAGATGGCCGGAGTGCTGCTCATCATGTTCTCCATCAACTGGATTGGGAGGAGAGCCAGCATGATGGGGGGACTCTTTCTCTGTGGGGTGTCGCTCGCATTGTGCCAGGTGTTTGAACGTAAGTTAGATCAAAGGTCGAATTATGTGATATCTTTTCGCCATTTACGTTGCATTTGAAAAAAAATCATTTTATTTGAAGAAATTAAAAAAAAAACAATCCGCTCCTAAAATCGCTGAAAAATATCTTTAAGTTTTCCAAATGCAACATGTTTTTTTAGCAATGACACGAATCGGATTGTTTTTTTTTAATTCTCTCAAGTAGGATTATTTACGAATTTGAATAATACTCGGCCAAGTGCGATACTATCAATTTACGAAGGTGTTTTTTTTCCAATTTGCAAAGATTTCCTCTCTTTTCAGGCAGTTGAAATTGTGAAAATGTAGAGCGACGAAGATATTTGTATTGTACATGTGACGAATGTTTGTTATAAACTATGTGTTTCAGAGAATGTGGTGTTAAAGCAGTTGTTTGCGTCCACGAGTAAACTGTTCATCACTGGCACCTTCGACATGGCCTTCCTCTACACGGGCGAAGTGATGCCTACACTAGCTAGGACTACAGGTAAATACCACTAGTCTAGTGCACATCTCTAGAGAAATTGACCAAAGATGAACGTTGGGTGCCTATGATTCTTAGCCCCTCCTTTTTTTCTAGTTAATCGAAATTTGATTCTTCTTTTTGATCGGCAGGAGTGGGAATCTGTTCGTGTATCTGCCGTGTGGTCGGAATGGGGTTCCCCTTCATAGAGATGATCAACTCCTACATCCCCGGAGGCAGCATCATTTTCATGGTCGTCCTAGCTGCAATGGGCGCTGGTTAGTTATATATTTTTACATGAAGCAACATTTAAATGATTAACGACTTTTCTAAAACTCAAATATTTGAGCCAGGCTGTTTAAATGTTTCATTGTTTTTTGAATTTCGAGGAAAGCTCTTTTTGAGTACAAAAAAATTGAAATTTACGCTGCCTCTAAATTAAAACTTCCGATTGGTCGTTTTTTTTACATTTATATTAATAATTAATGTTTTTTTTCTAAAAATTTAAAATGAATAGTTTATTAAGTGTGAAACTACTCACTGCCCTAGGCGCTTGTTTCCTTCTTCCGGAGACTAAAGGGCAGGAGCTTCCGGAGACGATAGAAGACTGTGAGTTATTGGCCAATAGGAAACTGCTCAAGTTCCACCCAAAAGTCGCTGACACAGAGTAAGTTGAAAACTTTTGAAATTAGTATCTGAAATGAATTGGATCAAATTTCTCTTTGTTTACAAATGCATTTTCTGGAAATTGACGACGTTTGATTTTTAAGCAATTTAAATGATCGAAATTTGATTATCGATAAAATTTTTAATTTCAAGAACAAAAACCTTTTTGAGGTTCCTAAAATCTTCATAACTTAATACAAAAAAGTTCTTCAATTATATTCACAAACAAGCTAAATTTAAGTTTTTTAGGGTTAAAAAATTATAATTTGAGGAGCATAGTTTCGAAAAACTTTGTTTCAGACCCGAAAAAGAAGGAATAGAAATACAGTTGGTACATGAAAAGAAAGACACCAACTGCTGACAACACGTAAAAAACAACAAAAGAAAATAACATCAGACGACTGCCTTCAAATCAATCTATCATTTGTGGGAAAAACGGGAAAAGCAAAAGCCTGAATTTATAACCGAAATTGGACCACTCCGAGGAAATAACAAGCGCATATATGAAGAAACGTAAAAAGCTGTTAAACAATTTTCAGACCGTAGTAAAATCTTCTATTCGTTCTGCAAAACAAACTTCGATTTGCCGAACTCTACCCAGCACAATCATGACTTTTTTGTTTTGATCTTTTTTGAGTTTGATTGAATGTCATTGAACGAAGTTTGTCCCCGTCTTTGTGCACATAGCTGGCAACAAAACTAAAATTAGTAGGGGTAACAGAAAAGTTAACAAATTTAAGTTATCTAGAAAGGGGCAATTATGAAGTAACTAGATAAACAGAAAGACAAAAAACTAGAACGTTTAAGAAGGGGTGACAATTGAAATGCTCATTTAGTGTGTGGATAGAAAACTTATTTTCAAAATTCCCATTGAAATTTTTTCCATTGTTCCACATTTCTCAAGTTGTTTTCATTTTATCGAAAAAGTGTCAAATTTCACAATTCTTGAAGTTGTAAGAACTTAAGGCTCGTCTATTTTTTTTAATCTGGTGTTGAAAAAATAAAAATTTATTTTCGTATTTTCATGAGTTCATTAACATGTTAAAGTATTAGCAGTATTTGTAAATTATTTTATATCAAGTATAGAAATAAAATGTCAACGTAGTGTTTTTTGTAAATGACTTAAATGAAATCATAGGAATTACTAAAAACTGTAGAAAAATGTTTGACCCGCTTTACAAAGACTCACTAAACCGAAATGCTTTAACTAACCATTCGAAATTTTCAATGAAATGTCCCCAGCCAGCCTTAATTTTGTCCAATTTAAGATTGTTAAATTTGACTAGCCTAGAGCCACAAAAACGTCATCACTTCTTTTAGTTTTAAGTGCAATTAAACGGCTTGCGTGATTAGTACTACAAATGCTTCGACAACAAATATAAAACGGGAGAAAGAGAAACAAGACTGCTCGTATCAGGGCAAAGCCTTGAATGTTCCGACTGCCTTTTAAGGTTTATGGAGCAGTAAAAATATTAAACAATTAAATGTAATAAAACAAAATGGAATTTTTTTTCTAAAATTTGAAATTTTTCACGAAAAGCATCCCCCACACGCCATATAAAATAAAAAGGATATATTTCGCTCCTTGTAACAAATCAATTAAGGCAAATAAGCTTCCTTCAACCAATTTGGAACGATTTCTAAGACGGATGAAAAATCCGCTTACGCGTTAATAGCGCGAAATATGTCGCGCGTTAATTGTCCCAAATTGGGAAAAATGATCCCAGGTAAAATATCGTTTCAAGTTTGAGCTCACGACAACAATACCTTTCGAATGATATAAAAAATTCCGTCAAAAATGGCTGGTTAAAAAGTCGAAAGTTGTCTGAAGAAAAAAACCCAACCCCGAGCACAAATATTCCGCTACTTTCGTATCGAAAGTCGGAACAACAAGGAAAACATTTACTCCTTCTTGTTTGTGTTTAATTGTTGCATGTAACTGACCAGCTGGGTCACCAAAAAAATTCTTGTTAAATATTTGCTGCTTCCGTAAAGGAGGACGTTGGAACAACCAGGAAATCGAACTTACGTGAACAGAGGAAAGGAAGACAAAAACATGAATAACAAACAAAAAAACTTGATAGGCAAGTTTACAGATACAAAACAATTAAAAATTAATTATTAGGAATAAGCTAGTTGAATAAAATTGATCAAATAGTCAAAACTTTCAGTTCTGTATTTGACGCTTGAAAAAAGCAAAACGATTTCAGTTTTTTCTTCATGCAAATTGATTGTTGAATACTTGTTTTACCAGTCAAATTAAATCGATTTAAATTAAGTGGAACAATAGCCCGGAGCAAAATCCCGTGTTAGCTGCTAGTTTCTTTTAGGAAATGAAACATTGTGAAAAAATGAAAATTCCTATTTTACAATAAGTTTTTACAACAAATAGAGGAGGTGGATGGGCTGACTTTTCTCTCAATCAGACATGCTCAAAATACTCACAATGACAGTCACACTGAACATCTATTCTGCGAGGAATTTTTTTATACGTCACCTACTGGACGACACATTTCGTGGAAAACGTAGACTATGACCTTTTTTCTACATCCTACATGTTCTAAATATTTTTAATGCAAGAGAGTCTCAATGCTCAAAATGTCCCTTCGATGACCACTTCGAACTTTCACCTTCACAATGATCTACTGACTTTGTTCACAATTGCTTTTGAACTGACACGGTTTTCAATGCCGTCTTCTGACTAAATGCTGTTTAAATTGAAATTTTTCTACAAGGAGCCTGAAACTCAATTGGCGAGAAAAAAAGGTAGGAACGTAGATGACTTGAATGGTTCAAATGCTTACAAAACCGAAGCCTTCAATGCTATGAAAATAATTTTAAAACGGGAGAACTTGTTTATAATAAAATGTGTTCATTTTTTGTATATATGTGACAAGTTAGGCCACGGAATTTGAACTGCACAAGTGACAAGCTAGGTCAACAACAAGTAAACTAGGACATCAGAACAACCAGGTAATGGAAAAAGAAAGAGAAGAAAGGAAGAAAAAATCTTAAACAGAAACAAAACAATTTCGTTTCGCGACAATATTACTGATGCGCAACAAAATTAAAAACTGAACAAGACTGCTCGTATCAGGGCGAAGCCCTGAATGTTCCGACTGCCTTTTAAGGTTTATGGAGCAGTAAAAACATAAAAAATTAAATGAAATAAAATAAACTGAAATTTTTTTTTTTTTAATTTGAAGTTTTTCTTATGAAATCATCCCCCCACACGCCATATAAAGTACAAAACAATAGATTTCGCTCCTTGTAACAAATCAATTATGGCAAATAGGCTTCCTTCAACCAATTTGGAACGATTTATAAGACGGATTAAATCTCCGCTTACGAGTTAATAGCGCGAATTATATCGCGCGTTAATTGTCCCAAGTTGGTCAAAATGGCCAAAATGGCAGGCAATCTTGAAACCCTCATAACTTTACGAAAAATGATCACAGGTGAAATATCTGTTCAAATTTAAGCTCAGGACAACAATGGCTTTCGAATGATATAAAAAAATTCCGTCAAAAATGGCTATTTAAAAAGTCGAAATTTGTCTGAAGAAAAAAAAACCCACCCCGAGCACAAATATTCCGTTACTTTCGTATCGAAAGTCGGAACAATAAAAGGAAGAAGCCAGTAAGAAAACAATATTCCAGAGCTTGAAACTTTCGTTCTTGTGTTTGATGCATGGAAAACGCAAAAAATCGAGCTACTGAGAATTTTTTTTGGTTAAGAAACTTCTACAAAGTTTATCAGCGACTGGTTTTCAGTTTAAACATGAATCAATTAAATGGTAGCGGATTCACATTTCTGATTTAAAACTTTTGTTATGCAATTTGTCTTTCAAATACTTTGTATACCAGTCAACTTGAGTCTCGTTGAAATAAGCGGAACAGTCTGAGCTGCCAGTTTTTTTTTTCAAAAGAGAATGTTTCATAAAAATGAAAATACCTATTTTACAACAAATTGCTTGCAACCAATAGACGAAGAGTCTTATATCAATGAAGTTTTTAAATATAAGTTGTTGACATGCTTCAATCACTTACAGCTATGGTCATACTGATCATCTAGTTTGCGAGTAATTTATACGTCACATGCTCGATGACACATTTTGTAAACAAAAAAACGTAAGTAATAGTTTATTACGTCCTTCATTACGAGGCCAAACTGTGCATTCTGTGCATTTTATGCGGATTGCACAACAGGCCAAAATCAGATTTGTCGTGGAATCCACATCATTGCTACTTTTATTTGATCTTCTTTGCTGTTATGGATTCCACAAATATTCCGCTGACAATGGTTTAGTCCTTGCTTGTAAATTCCGCATTGCTAGAGATAAGAATTCCAGCTCTAGCTTTTAATTGTTCATATGCAAGTTCAGTATTGATCAAAATTTGGAATCCACTTACAGTTTGCGGAATCCGTTTACATTTGCGGATTCCGCTTACATTTTGCGGAATCCAAAACAACTAGCTATATTCGCTTGTTGCGGAGCCGCGACCCAACAAATGTGCCGACAAAATTTACGTTACACTCATATGTACACGGAATCCACGGAAGTTTTTTAAGTGGAATCCACTTACATTTTGGAACAAGTTTAAAGATTAGTTATTGGAATCCAGGAACAGACACAAAATTGTGCGCCGATCCAGTGCACGGTTTGGCCTCGTAATGTTCAGGTTCTATTCATTTCAAAACTGTTACCCCACGAGTTTTATCAAAACCAAAATTAAACTTGTAATTGTTGCTTTTTTCGCTCATTTTTGATTCAAGAATGTGTTTTATTGATTTGTTTCATGTGCCAAGAGAAACAAGAATCAAGGCGCAGCGAAAAAATTGCTGAGAAGCCAAGTTCTTATGTCAACAAACTAAGCATACATTAAACATGATATAAAAAAGATCACTTTTTTCAAGTTAAAAAGCAATTCAAACTAACTAATGAGTTTTTTAAATTCTATTTAAGTTCTTATTTTGGAATAGGTTAAACTTGAATCAGATTAAATGAAATCAAAACTCAATTCTTTTGATAAAAATGAAGCGTTTTTATAATTTTAATTATCTATCTTGATAATGCAATGTTCAACAGACCAATATGATCATTGTGATCATCCCACGAAAAAAGCAATTGATCTGCCGCTATTTGTAAATCACAATATCAACCTAAGAATATTAAAATTTTGTTTTCCAGATGTGTTCAAAAATGTTTTAAAAGTGAGTCGCAAAACTGAGTCAAATGCTAATGAATCGCAAAACTGAATTCATCGCCTGACCTTCTCAGTTATCAACCAATTTCGCCAGTTGTGAGCATTAGTTGCCTAACTGTAATGCGTTCAGGTGGCATTAAAAATGTAGGTTTGAGTCTTTTCTAAACATCTTTTTTAAATTATCTACTTGAAAAAAAATAAATTTAATTTTATTGCTTTTTTGCGGTCTAAGAAAACATGATGGAAAATAAAAACTTGTTTCTAAGCTTCCCCTCACGTGAAAACAACGAAACAATCACAAAAAAACCGAATATCTTTTGGAAAAGGAAAAAAGGTTTTTCTTTGCCTTCTTTTTTCAATGAGATATGATGAACTTGCTCGGAACATTGTGCTTTACATAAACAACTGCCGGTTATTGTTTGTTTCAAGACTATTTTGGGAGCTATCAATTTTGTTTTGTAAGTAAGAAATATTCGAGTATCTGCTATTGAAGATCTTCGGTCTCGAGAAGGTCGTTCGCAACCACAATAGTCGCGACAAAAAATCGCACAACTCGGCTGTAGCGGCTGAAATGGGACTCCCTTTCATTAAGATAATCAAATTCTAGACCTACAGAGGCGGTATCTCACTCATGGTTGCAGTAGCTGCTATGCAGACTAGTTCGTTTTTAGCATTACGAGGCCACACTGTGCTTTTTAGAGAACCGCCTATTTGCTTGTGTATCTCTGTGGAACAAGGAGATGAGCTTTGAGACATGTTACAATCGAACCGCCAAATTTATTCACCAATTTGTTTTGATATTCACTAGCAGA